CTACCTTTTAATTATAATAGTATTACATGAATATGATTCAACTTCAGATAATACAAAGAGCCATAAGAATAAATTAAGCAGGATTCATAACTCTATCACTACATTTGTCCCTCAGAACTTGGTATGTAGAAAGATGGAAAGATGCATTATTTGTATGTGTAGAGATGTACATAGGTACATTATTTGCAAAGAAAAGATCATACTATGCATGAAGTTTTATCATTTTCACCCAAAAAATAATCATGAACATCTTTCAATGTTAATAAATACATCATCACTTTTTATTGACTTAATATTTCATTACATGTGTATTTATAAATTATAATATTCACAAAATCCATCATGTCTGAGTATCTGAACTATATCTAATTTTGTATATTCTTAGTTGATGCAGCAGTATTTCTTCATATATATATATTCATGCTCGTTCACTCATTTTTTAAAAAAATTCCTAGAAGTAGGAATATTGAGTCAAATATGCATATACGTAATTTTGAGATCCAGTGCTAATTTGCCCTTGAGAGCGTTTCCACCAATTTACACTTGCAACAACAGTATATAAATAATTCACACATTCCCACATTCCTTCCATAAAATGACAATTATGTCTTTTATTCAGCCAACCAAATATAACTAAATAAAGTCTGGAGATCTGACCTCATCCAACCCATTTCTAACCACCATCATGACTGCAAGTGACCCTCTCTAAGTACTTCCTCAGAAACGTGCCTTGCTTTGGAGGAGAAGGGGAGAGTCAAATTCTTATTTTTTGAGCAGCAAAATAAGCTCTTGAAACTCATAACAGTGTCATCACTCTGAACTCCAGCCATTTGATATTTCACTAGTTGAGCTTTTTGTGAAGAAAGGAAAGTTTCTTCAAGTCTCAAAAGACTAACCCTTAAGAGAATAACAGCCTAAAATGTTGCCAAAAGGAGCAGAGTAGAAAGAAATTTTTCTCTACCTTCCACTCTAGCCTAAAGGACAGAGATTTAGAAGAAGAGCTTAATACTAGTGGGTGGCTAAAAATTATGAGTCCTGACCCATACCCTGGATTGGTAGCAGATGGAGGAATTGTGCAGGTAGTTGGATATTCAAATATATTTGAGGAATCTGAATATGGAGTGATTGCAACATCCCACCAGGTGCAGTGCCTCAGAGAAAGGTAGAGTAAAAGCATTTCAGGAACTGAAGTGGTCCTGAAAGAGCCCAAGTCCTCAGACAGAGATGAGGAAGAGCAGTTACACTTTCTATGTTTCCCCACAAGGGTGCGGAAGTCAGCCAAGAGGAAGAGCCAGCAACCCAAAGACATCAGAAACCAAACAGGATCACAGAAGCTGGAAGTCCTAGATGCCAGCAGGGTAGACGCTGATGAGCAGTGACAGGTGAGGCAATTGTACATCCCAGATTTGAACTAAATTTAACTGAAATTGTGTAGTTTAATTATTCTGTCATCGGATAGAGGAGGGGTTCAAATTCAGTTTTTAAAAATTTAATAAGTTTATTTTCTTGTACGCCTGACAGCATTCTGCACTACTTCTTTTCACACCAATCCAATTTCAAGTCGTGTCCATTCGACTTCCAAAAAAGCTGTTCCCACTCTCCTGCCTCCATTGTCCCAGGCTCACTGCCCTTATTGGGAAAATGTTAATAAAGATAGTACTTGTTGGTGGCAAGATGAGGATCAATGGCTGAAGGGAAGAGGGAGAAAGAGAGTCAGTAGAGAAGGAAAGAGGAAGGTAAAAAGGCAGCTCATTGAATAGCCATAAAGACTCAAGTTCCTGTGTCACAAAATCCCCAAACAAAATAATCTATGAGTTAGATATTTGTATCCCCATTTTACAAAAGAGAAAGGTTAAATCAGAGAGAAGGATATATATATATATATATGTCCTAGTCCTCCAGTGAGCATGAAGCTGAGATTCCAATTCCAGTCCAACTAAAATGAAGTCCATGTCCTTCCTCCTACATCTGCTGCCTCCCCCAGACATGTATTGACTCTACTTGCTAAGCTAGTGTCTGACCACTGACTTGTGTGCACCAGCAGGATGCCTCAGCAACCACATTTTTATATTAATTATTTAAGGAGAGTAAAACTGTATCAAAGGTATGTTTTTGGAACCACATGGCAAGTGACCAGGTATACTGGCTCTGTCTGGGCCAAGCTTCTTGCAAACAAATCCTTGATAAACCACTGACTGCTTTGACAAGCTATTCAGCTTCTCTGCACAGAATTTTTTTAAAGTTCTGGGAAAATAATTACATAGATTTTTAAAAGTTCTTCTCCATACAAAGTAACAGAAAATAAAGAGAGAAAAATCACTGGTAGATATTAAGACATACTATTTCTCAAAATTAAATGTTTACCCAATTTCAGCACATAAGTATTTTCTGGTACTACTTTGCAGTTACACAAATTTTATAGCAGTCTATTTCTCATAAGCAGGATATATCTAAGTTAAATTGTAACTACATCAAAATGCCTATTTACTATAACACTAAAAGACTCTATTCCTACCTTATATGCTAACTACCACAGCTGTGTTTTCCAAATTTATCTCATCATAACTTCATCTATGTGCTTATTAAAAACAAATTCTCATGTCCCACTCTCTGGAGAGTTTTCATTTGTAGGTGAGAATACAGCTAGGGAATTGATATTTTCAGATTTATTTATGCATTTACTTGAAAGGCAGGGTAACACAGAGAGGGAGACATGGAGAGAGAAAGAGAGCTCCTCCATTAGCTGGTTCAATACCCAAATGCTCATAATGGCCAGGGCTGGGTTAGGTTGAAGCCGAAGACCAGTTATTCCATCCAGGTCTCCCAGGTAACTGGCAGAAATCCAATAGTCAAGCCATCATCTTTTGCCTCCTTAGCTCATTAACAGGAAGTTGGACTGGAAGCAAAGAGTAGCCAGGACTCAAACGAGGCACTCTGACATGGGAGCAGGTGTTTGATGCAACTGCTTAACCCACTATATCACAATGCCCCCACAGCCCTGGAGAACTGATATTTCTACCAAGTACCCTCAGTGATACTGGTCATTCATCACCATAAAAGAGCAGGTACTGACCAATGCACAATTTTAAAGGACAGCTCAACATAAATAATTTGAAATCCTCTTCCAAAAATACCTGGGGAAGGGTGGAGGACAGGAACATTTGGCCTAGCAATTAGGACACCTTTTATTTCCCAAACTAAAATCACACTATGACTATCTAGACTCATGTGATATAGATAACTAGGTCATACTATCCTATATTTACTTATATCTTTTCATGTATGGCTTATTCTTTTGTATACACACATAAAGTCCCTTGCTAGCTAGTCTGATTTAGCTTTATTTCCCTTATTCATTTAACTAAAAAAATGTTACCACTTATAATGAACCAGGGCAGTAGCTTCCCTGTCATAGGCAGTACATCAGTATTGAATAAATTAATCCCAGCCTTCTAGTCCCTACTTTCATCAATAAATATATTAAGTCTTAAAGGGGCTGGGCTGTGGCATAGCAGGTAAAGCCACTGCCTGCAGTGCCAGCATCCCATACGGGTGCCAGTTCAAAACCCGGCTGCTCTACTTCCAATACAGCTCTCTGCTGTGGCCTGGGAAAGCAGAAAAACATGGCCCAAGCCCTTTGGCTCCTGCACCCACGTGGGAGACCTGGAAGAAGCTCCTGGCTCCTGGTTTCGGATCAGCACAGCTCTAGCCATTGTGGCCAATTGGAGAGTGGACTAGCGGATGGAGGACCCCCCCCCCATTTCTCTTTCTCCCTCTCTCTCTCTCTCTCTGCCTCTCTCCTCCTTTCTCTGTGTAACTCAGGCTTTCAAATAAATAGATAAATCTTTAAAAAAAAAAAAGAGTTAAAGCAGTGAAGTAACTAATCCAAGGTCACGGAAATGATTGGCCACACATCAAGAATAGACTTCAAGTGTTTGGTAAAGCCAAGGAAAACCCAGAGGGAGGAGGAAGAGCTGGAGCATGGCAGGGAGGGAGGGTAGTGTGAGAAGTGTCACTATGTTCCTAAATCTGTATGTATGAGATACATGAAACTTGTATACCTTAAATAAAATTTTAAAAAAGAAAAGCATTATGTAGGCGAGTGTTTGGTATGGGTTAAATAGCCATTTGGGAGACCCACGTCCCATATCAGAGTGCAAGGATTCAAATCCTGGCTCTGCCTCTGATTCCAACTTCCTGCTAATGCAAATCCTGGAAAGTAGCAGATGATAGCTTTAGTAACTGGGCACCCACCATCTACATGGGAGAGCTGGGTAGAGTTCCCAGCTCTCGGCTTGGATCTGGCCCAACCCCAGCCATTGTGGGAATTTGGGGAGTGAACTAATGGAAGGGATTTTTTGGCTTTCACTCTCTCTCCTTTACTCCAAGTCCCTTTAAAATAAATTTTTATAATTTTTTTTTTTGACAGGCAGAGTGGACAGTGAGAGAGAGACAGAGAGAGAAAGGTCTTCCTTTGCCATTGGTTCACCCTCCAATGGCCGCTGCTGCAGCCGGCGCACCGCGCTGATCAATGGCAGGAGCCAGGAGCCAGGTGCTTTTCCTGGTCTCCCATGGGGTGCAGGGCCCAAGCACCTGGGCCATCCTCCACTGCACTCCCTGGCCATAGCAGAGAGCTGGCCTGGAAGAGGGGCAACCGGGACAGAATCCGGTGCCCCAACCGGGACTAGAACCCGGTGTGCCGGCGCCGCAAGGTGGAGGATTAGCCTATTGAGCCACGGCGCCGGCCTTTATAATTATTTTTTTAAAAATACTTGCGAAATGGTGGAGGTCTAAAGACAATGATTACTCACTGATGTGAAACTTAACCTTGACTTGTCAAACATGTAAAAAGGAAACATGTAAAAAAGAGCTCTAAATCAGCTTAGACCCGTAGGAACCTGTGGCATAGTTTTCCACTTTTCAGCTACCCAATCTTCCTCCCTCCACCCCTCAGCCTCCTTCCCGTCCTTCCTTCCTTTCACGCGTTCTTCAATACGCACCTGAGTTCTTCTTTCACTTCCGTTGCAGTGCCTCCTGATATCACAAACACATCATTCATGTCATCAGTCAGAATATTGCAGGCGTAACCGATGTTTATGGCTGTTTCTGATAGAAAATAAAGCCCGTCTCATTTAAAATGCTAAATAATATAGGTACATTTTTCATAAAGGTTTTGAGGTCATAGCAGTATTTCCTTATTGCTGACAGCCTCTTTAATGTCAGAGCACAGTGAATGATAAAATACAAATGACTTGAGATAAAATACAAAAACCTATGTTCCATAATCAAATTTACCACTTGCAAGGCACATGAAGTAGCATTATCTATGAATCTTCAGCTTTCTTGTCTAGTTTTTTTTAATTATCTCAAATTAGCACTCTTAAAAATTCTGTAAGATCTTGTAACATAGTGACATGTATATGTACAAAACTTGACGAGAGGACCCAAATACCACCTTTAGAGAACCAAAATATTACACTTAGCTAATATTCAATTATCATATGGTAGGAAAGTTGAAAAATCTCACAAAATGTTCCACTGGGCAACAAAAATACTCTTAGAAAATTGGTATAATCTTCCCACAGTCAACATTGCCATTTTCTCTTTAATGAACGGAAATTTAGAATTTGACTAAATCCCAAAAACCAAGATTGCTGTAATAGAAAACTGGAAAATTCTAAGATATTGGTAGTCCTTCCTGAACTTTGATAGAAATAAAGCCAGTGAGAGTTAGGTAACTCTTTCCATCTTTAATACACGTATTTATATTTAATTTTTTCTAACTCTATTGAAATTTTAGACTCTAATTTTATGGAATTATTACTTTTGTCCTAAGTCAAGGAAGGTAACTGATAAAAGCTCAGCATATCCTATCTATAAACTACAAGAATTGAAGCTAAATAGTAGTAAGCTCGTAAATACTCATAACAATTGAATAACTGCACCCGAGGTCAAGATCAAACTCTATGGAGTCTCTACCTAGTAATATACCAGAGGGCTCAATTCTGCTATCTATGTCTTTTAATCAATTATTTGGAAGAAAAAACAGAAAACTGGTTTATTACATCTTCAAATTCTTAAATACTCTAAATAAAAATCCAATAAGAAAGCAGAATCTTAAATATAGATGTATGCCAGCTAATTAAATATTTTCAACTGACAGCCAAGCATAGAATCATTTTTGTTTTAACCATTATTGTTAGCAATAGATCCAAAATGTCTTCTTTCCCTTTTCTTTCTTAAGATACACAGTATTTTGAACATGACTTTTTCTCTGATGAGTAACAACTTTGTCATGCCTGAAAGTGGGTGAATTCTTACTGTACCACTCCATGGGAATACTTGGAGTTTAGCCAGGGTGTACTGGTAAAATTGTGGTGGTTGTTAAAATACCAAAATATTTCCATAGATGGTTGAGAAACAGCTGCTTCCTTGAGCTTTTCTAAAGCCTGCCCACCACCCAGACCTCAAATCCCCCAAACCTCCCAAACATTAAGAAACTAAAAGGGTAATCCAAGGTCTCCAATGTCCTGTTTCAGTCTCAGTATTTGTCTTGATTTGGGGCACTGCTCATATGAAGCAACTTTTAAATACTTTAATATCGGGGCTGGCATTGTGGTATAATAGGCTAAGCTTCCGCCTGTGGCCCCAGCATCCCATACAGACACTGTTCGTGTCCCACCTGCTGCTCTTCCAATCCAGCTCCCTGGTAATATACCTGGGAAAGCAGTGGAGGGTGGTACAAGCACTGGGCCCCTGCACCTATAAGGGAGACCCTGAAGAAGCTCCTGACTTCTGGCCTTGGATCGGCCCAGCTCCTGCTGTTTTGCAGCCATCTAGGAAGTGAACCAGCAGCTGGAAGATATGTCTCTCTGTAACTCTACCTCTCAAATAAATAAATAAGATCTTTTTTTAAAAAACGAATCCAAAAAGTGATTTTAATATCATTGTTACCTATAGGCTTAATAATTATATTTAAGGGCAATTGGACTGGAACTCAAGTGATCCCAGCATATGATATGGAAGGCATTTTGTTAGTTTGCTTTTGTTTGCTTATTTTAAAAAGTAGATTAGTATTCTTGTTTTTATTTCAACACTCTCCTATGTAGTGAACTAGACAAATAACTAATTGAGGTTTCTGGTTAATTAAAATTTTATCATTCAAGTCTTCTCCCCCTTTTCAAAACATCATCATCATCCATTTTCAAATTACCTTGTTTGTCTCCTGTTAGGATCCATATCTTAATATTAGCTAGGGACAAACTTGTAACCGTTTCAATAACACCCTCTTGTAACTTATCTTCTACAGCAGTGGCACCTAGTAGCTTCATTGAAAAATAGAGAACTTACGTTAATGCATGCAGACAATACCTTTAATGTTTATGACTTTCAGTCACAAAGTTTAGATGTCAGAGAACATGAATGTGTGGAAGTAGACTGAGAATGACTCCAAAAAGAAGTTCCCAAATCAAGCTAACTTGATGCAGAGGTCTGGAGGTTAGAATTTGCCTGATAGGGTTGATAGACTTAGGTAAGATGTTAGCATAAATGATCAGAGGTCATTTGGGCCTTTAAGGACTCAACTTCCCAGCTGCTTCCCTAATTATATCAACAATGGAGGGGTCCAACAGAAAGCCCTCACCTCATGGCCAGGAAGCTGATCACGAAACAGTAGAGTCATTCTCCTGCATTAACAATCAACAGAGGCCATAAACTCAAAAATGAAGGTACCAAGTATAATTTTTCATCCAGAGATGAACAAGGTCTGATCCCTAGTATCTCTCAGTGACTGAGCCCTGTCACAGAGGCCTCAGAGAAGAGTGGTTTCTAAAATAGAACACATTCTGGATAGCATAGACACCAGCTCTATGATCCAAGGGAGTTTAGAGTGATGGCCTCACTCTTGTTAGCAAGTTTCTCCATTCCAAAACAGTGGGTCATAGGGGCCAGCTCTGTGGAACATGGGTTAAGCCACCACTTGTGACACCAGCATCCCTTGTTGGAGTGCCTATTCAAGTCCTGGCTTCTCCACTTCCAATCCAGCTCTTTGCTAAGGCCCATTCACCCACACTGCGGACCTGGATGGAATTCTGGGCTCTTGGCTTCAGACTGGCCCAGTCCCAGCTCCAGCCATTCTGACCATTTAGGGAGTAAACTAGTTGTTGAAAATCAATCAATCAATCATTCAATTTCTATCTCTCTCTCTCTCTCTCTCTCTCTCTTCTCTCTCCCTCCCTCCCTCTCCCTATCTCTACCTCTATCTTTCACTCCTACTCCCACACTCTTTAAAAAGAAAAACATGGGTCATAGAACGAGGCAAGAAAAAAGAAAACTATAACATCAAAGATGCATCAGAGGTTGACCAAAAAAGAGGGAGTCTATTATCTTCTATTCCAATTGGATAAGCTACTGCTGATAGAAATAAACCTCTAGATTCTCCAGAGTCATACACAGCGAATGCAAAGCCAACATACAGAGCATGATTCCATGCTTGAAAGAGTAACATCTGCTATGTGCAAAAAGATTTAGCAAATGGCTTATTCCTGTACTCAGTCTCAAAACACATACAGTCCTTTCTGTAAACATGAACTCATACCATCAAATCTCTTTCAATTTCTTCATACAGTTCAGCTATCCATTCATCCCTCTCATCTGTAGAAGCATTTGCATCTTCAAGCATCTTCTGCCATTCTTTAAAGTATTTGTCATCCAGATCTCTGTATGCAATGGCCAAGGTTCGGAGGCCTTCCCCTGCAAATTCCTGTCAGGGAAGGCATAGGTTGAAGAACAATCTTTTAAAAAATAATCATAATAAGCAAAGTAACAACAATCATAATGAGAAACAAGTTTTTCACTCAAATTCATTTCACCCCAGGAGCAGTGATTGGCCATCCTGATCCCTACATTTCTACCTCCTCAGAAATGACAGCTAATGTTTGTGTTTTGTATTATATTTATGAGGTTGAAACATGTAGAGGAGCTAGGCTTCCCTCTAAAGACAGCTAAATGCCTGCTGAAAAGCCTGGCTGAAAGGTGATCAATGATGCCCGTAACTTGAGATAGCCATTTGAAGCAACATGTGCATACGGTGTTCAACCTACCCTTGCCTGGAGAAGGCATTCCTGGTCATGAGAAGAACACATTTTCATGGCCCCTGGCTTGCAGGGAAGAGGAAAGGACCCTCAGAGGAACCACAGTGCTCACATCAAAGCCTGGAGGCTCCCAGGGAACTGCAGTGTGAATCTCACCACAGTCTTGCCACATTCCTCTAGCAACACAAGGAGTCTTCAAAAAGTGTGGAGACATGCATATTATAAGAAAAACTATGCACGGATTTACAGACTTTTGTACCACATAAACATTACCCTTTTATTCCATTTCCCTGAACGTCTTCAAGTATCCTTGTACATCTATACTTAAAATTAATTGAGGCTCACTTTTGTATATGCTTGAAAATGTTCACAATAGAAAGCTAAAAGTAAATAATTTATGAATAGAGGCCAGTGTTGTGGTGCAGCGGGTTAACACACACGGTTCTAGTCCTAGCTGTGCCACTTTCAATCCAGCTCCTTGCTAATGCACCTGGGCAGGCAACATAAGGTGGTCCTAGTATTTGGGCCCCTAACCTATGTGGGAGACCCAGATGGAGTTCCTGGGTCCTGGCTTCCATTCAGACCTGCCCTGGCCACTGTGTCCATTTGGGAAGTGGACCAGTAGATAGAATGCCTCTCTCTCTCTCTTCCCTGTCTTTCCCTCTAACGCTGCCTTTCAAGTAAATCAGTCGATCTTAAAATAATAAAAATATATGAATAAATAGATGTATAATAGGTAATAGAAGTTTAAGCATATTATTCACAGTTGATAACCTTCAAGAGAAAGGGGGAAAGAATGAAAGCTAATTTAAGTGGTTGCAGGGCTAGAAGTATAGGCTGACTTTTCATTCTAGACTCTTCTGTGATACTTTATTTTTTGCTACATTAAAGTTTTGTTTTAATAGTTAAAAGTTGCTTAAAATTTTAAAAACATGGTCATCAAGTTAGGTTAGTTTATGAAAGTATTTTTTAGAAGCTATGTTCAATGGAGTGAGTATTTCATAATGTCTATTTGGGAAAACCTGCCCCTCCCTTCAGTGTCTCAGTAAAGTGATAATCTCAAACAATTCCCTTGGTGCTTGGGAAAATATAGGAGATTTGAAGTTTGTAAGTATCTTGCACAGCCACAATAGCTGGAATTGTGTAGATTGCTTTGGTAAAGAGCAAAACAACCTCCCACTTTGTCTGCGCCTCCTGTGGTAACTTCGTGGGCCTCCACACTGCAAGCCAAGTGTTTTCATAGCCATTTCTGTTCCTTTGGGTATTGTTATTGAGAATGTCTTCTCTGTTGTGTTTTGGCTTAGGGTACAGAAACAGGTTTATGATCAGACAAAAGTTAAACCATGACACACCCTAATTAGGTAAACAGAAAAGTTAGTGCGTACTGGGATGCTCTTAGCCCAGGGAGACCAAAAGAAAAATTTATCTCCTAGGCAGTTGGTAGCACTTCGTATATTGCAATCACATTTTACAAGCCCTCCCTTCCAAGACCACCACTGGATCCCTTCTGATCTGAAAATCTAGTTACTGTCTTGTAATGATCTTTTGTCCTCTTAATTTGCACAAACGCTTCTTTGCCTTTAAGTGCAGCCCCACTGGGCATGACCAGTGCCTTCCTCTCTGTTCAGCACAACAGTGAATCAACTCGAAGATGACATTACAAAAGAGGACAGATGAGTTAAGTTATTTAATTAGTGCATGAAACACAAGTTTCATCCTAAATATGCATTTGAGCAAGGTCTCTTCCTATCATTAGACAACTCAAAATCAATTAATTAACTACAAATTTCCAACCTAAAAATCCAGAAGGCAACATGAATAAAGAAAATGAAGCAAAGAGCAAGTCAAATTGGTATTACCTAAAAACATAAACTTATTTTTGGGATAGAAATGTAAAAAGACCAAATTGGGCTCCATATACTTTAGTATGAAAGGAAAACACATGAAAATCCAGGGCCTTGGTGTTTGAGTAATGGCAAAAATCAAATACTTATGATTCCAATGTTGTTTTCATAAAAAAAATTAAAAAGACCATGCCGGCCTCTGGAAGAGATTAAAAGAAAATCAAGAATGCTCTATTGGAAAGACAGAACAATAGCTATGTTTGTAACCAATATTACTAAACCATCATTTTTTAAAGTCAAGCAGAGGTTTTTTTATTTATTTGTTTTGTAAAGATTCAGGGGATGTTTTGTATTAAATATAGGGCCTCACAAAGAACATGAATCCTTAATTTTTTCAAGGAAAGGAACCAATGAGACAAGGAGTTTTGACTGATTTCCTTCAAGTTCATATGGAGTTAAATGAAAGTGTAAACAATTATTAAAGACACCCTTGAATTCCAGGTTTATACTAAGTAATCTTCACATTAACATATCTGCTGTCACTGTTTTGAAAGCAAGCAAGCATGCCAGCGATTGCTGGTCTCAGAACGCATGAGTTCACTGTCCTAGGGGACACATAGGACTCCTCATGATTTATGACCTGAATAAAGGGACCCTTATGGAGAAAGCTGACGCCACAGACTACTCTTCCCTTCCCACTGAAACACAATCCTAAACCATCCCCTGGGTGTAACTGTAAGAGATTCCATTGGTGCCAAACATATCCGAACACAAGGAAAAGCAACTCCGTTTCCTCTCCCCCAAGCCAGTCCATTCTCCCCAGGGCAGCAGTGGAAAGCTGCAGGAGAGGCAGAGCTGGCTTCCCCAGGTGGTCCTGAAGCACCCCGGAGCCTGGCTCTGGCTGGAGTTCAGAAGCCCACACTCTGGCTGCTCCTCAGCTGCTGGGTGCGAATCCACCTGTGGCGAGACTGCCTGGACTCCACCAGGTCAAGGCGCAGCAGTCCATGCGCCAGGGTCCAGACATTCACTGGCACAGTTTCCTATGGAACTGATCTCCAGATGCTTTCTGTTTCAGAAGTCAGATCCTTTAGCTGATATTTTTCAAACAAGACCTAACCATAGGAGATGGCAAAAGGGCCATTGTGCTAATCTTAAGACAGAGGCACTTACACTGATGTGATCTGACGTCAAAGACCGAAGGTCTTCATGGGAGGGAAGAAGTTTTTCAAACAGAATAATATCTGCTCCTTTGGAATAAAGCTTTATCTGTCCTTCTGGGTTTCGAACTGAAAAGAAAAAAGGTTTACAAAAGCTTAATATAACCAAGGAAATCCATCAAAATGAGATTCTCCAGGGCTGCAGCCGGGCAATTTGCAATGGCTGTGCATTAGCCAACAGTAAAACACTCAGTGCCTTTGGTTTGACACACTTACTACCTAAGTTACTCACTGGGCTTTATTCCCACTATATTAACTTAGACATAGTCATCTACCAGAATCCTTTGCTTTGCTTTTCAAAACTCAGAAACAAATGTTTTTATTCTTAAGTGTGTTTTTTCCTAATTTTTTGCATGCTATTTCTAAAGGAGTAATACATTTAAATCACTTCTTCAGTATCAGCCTAATTGAGAGCCTTGAAAGCTCCTGGTATGAAATTCTAGACCTATTGTTCAAATTAATGCCATTGCTACGGCAAATCCTCTCCATAATGAATTCTAGCCACCCAAAGGCATCACTTACACAGCAGTCATTTCCCTTTGCTCATGTGTTTCTTTACCCGCATCACCTCTTGGAAAAATCCATTCGTTCTTGGGTCACAGTCCTGGCTGCAAGCACATCTCGCAGGGGGCTTTCAGAGGATAAAGTTTCCACCTTCTTCCCCCTAGAATTCTATGTTAATAGGGCTGTGATTTTAACTTGCCCCTCAGGCTTGGGAATGAACCTGGACTCCCCTATCACTAAGCCCATCCACATACTGCTGTCAGACAAATGTTTCAAACCATACAACATTTGGTTTTACAGAGTGGCCCATGGTAGATAATTATTTGTTGACTGAGTAGATGATTGAATCAATGGCATGCTGTGTATTTCTTCCCAGGAACTGCCTGCAATTTAAGACAACTGCCTGTGTCACAACTTCATGGTCTGAACTCTGGTACTCAATTGAGTCAAAGATCATTGCATACTTTTCATTTAATTATACCTTTTCCATAAAAATATAATGCCTCAAGCAGATGGGCATAAACATGCACAACGATTAATTCAATGGCTCACAAAATTTAGAACTAGACTTAAAGGAATATAACTATCAACATAAGCAGTAAGTTACTTTCTCCTCTAACCTTTACTACTCTTAGTCAACACTCAATCTGGTCTAATTTCCTCCTGCCTTGAATAGATCTAACTTTTAGCAGTGAGTCTCATCTAGGTCTTGTCTTGTGTCCTGAAGATACTTGGTCACTTACTTCCTTGTCAGAACTCATGCATTTTTTTCTTGGCTTTGAGCTGTGATTGTCCACATTGGGGAAAATAGGGAGAATGGTATACACAGTTTATGGAACTGCCCAAAACAGGGGGAGGGGCAGAAATCAGTCCTTACTTCTCTTCTACAACAATCCAAACTTCCCCACATTTTCTCTCTCCAATAATCAGAGATACCAAGGCAAACTGTGTATGTTCTCTGTTTTGCCTATGACTTCCCTATGTCTATTTTCTTATACTCTATGCTAGAACATTAATTCTTGAACATTTTGATCTCAGGACTCCAAAGAATTTTGAATGCAGCTATATCTATCAATATTTACTATATTATAATTTTAAAATGAGGAATTTCATTATATCCATAGTCTTCCATCACTGAAAATAGTAACACTATGACAATAATTATTATTATAATAAACCTAATAGATATTAACATAAATTTCATTTCTATTAAAAGACTATTTTCTAAAATGAAAAAATATTTTGGAAAGTGGCACTGTTTTTCTCTAGTACAGATCTCATTAATGTCTGGCTTAATGAAAGACAGTTGGATTCTCATATCTGCTTCTGCACTCATTCAGTCATGACATCACACATCATATGGCAACTGTAAAACTGCAGTATACTCATGAGAAAAAGCAAAAAAGACATATAAAATGTGGTATTATAATGAAAATACATGTGTCCTTGTGCATTCCCTGAAAAGTTCTCAAGTTTCCCTAAGGTTCTGTAGATCACATGTTGAGAACCACTGATCTAGAGGAATCACAAGTTGACTGCAATTTCTGCAAGTCTCTGTAGCTCACTTTCTACATGGAAAAAAAAGTTATGTTTAAATAATCTAAATTGGAAGGTTCTAGTGCTTGCTTTGGCAGCATGTACACTAAAATTGGAATGGAAGGTTCTTTACAGCTGTAAGATTTTCTACCTTAATGAAAATTTTCCATGCTGGATGCCTGATCTTTTTTATTTAAAGACTGATTGAAAGGTCAGTGCTGTGGTGTAGTGGGTGGAGCCGCTGCCTGCAGTGCCGGCATCCCATGTGGGCACCGGTTTGAGTCCTGGCTGCTCCACTTCCAGTCTAGGTCTCTGCTATGGCCGGTCCCAGCTGAAGCCAGGAGCCAGGAACACCATTGGGGTCTCCCATGTGGGTGGCAGGGACCCAGGTACTTGGGCCATCTTTTGCTGCTTTCCCAGGTGCATTAGCAGGGAGCTGAATTTGAAATAGAGAAGTCGGGACATGCACTGTGTCCATATAAAATGCCAGTGTCATGAGTGGTGGCATAGCCCACTAAGCTACAATGTTGGCCTCTGGATGCCTCCTCTTAACTGAGTATTCACACTTTTAAATTTGAATTTGTGTAAGTCCAATTTCACAGAAATCTGCTTAAGTTTATACACTAAATATTTCCTTTACCAGCTCAGCACATTTTACATCTTTTTTCATCCAAGGCTTCTGATCATTTCTATTAATTAATTTTTTAAAGATTTATTTATTTATTTGAAAGGCAGATATGCAAAGAAAGAAGGAGAAAGGGGAAACAGAGAGACAGAGATCTTCCATCTGCTGCTTTACTCCCCAAATGGCCACAAAGGCTGGGCCTGGGTGAGGCCAAAGCTAGGAGCCAGGAGCTTCTTCCAGGTCTCCCCCATGGGTATAGGGCCCAGGAACTTAGTCCATTTTCCACTGTTTTCCCAGGCACATTAGCAAGGAATTGGATTGGAAGTAGAGCAGCAGGGATTTGAACCGGTGCCCATATGGAAAGCCAGCACTGTAGGTGGAGGTTTAACCTTCTACACCAGCCAAAGCACCATCCCTGATCATTTCTATTTAATGATCATTCATTTCTCATTCAATTCAGAAGTTAGCTTTCTAAAATAAATTTAAAATAACATAATTTCAAATGATCAAGATAATATACAGCAAGAACCTAAACAAAGGTCAAAGTTTTAGGTTATAAAATATTTTCCCACTGCTTCTCCTTCAAATATTGGTGCTCTCCAGTGACTTACTCTGGATCTATTTCTCCTCCTATCCTGCATATTCTCCATGGGCAACTGCATTCATGTCTATGGTTTCAAGTTCCATTGACAGGCTGACTGCTCTCAAATGCTTATCCCCTGTCCAGAACTATCTCTATACTCCCTTATGACCTACCCATCCGACTACCAACTGAACATCTCTTGGATATGCCCAAGGTGGACACCTTCCTGTGTCTACTCTTCCTATGTCAACAGTCTCAGTAATCAATTTCCCCAACGCATTCAGGCTCCCAAACCAGGAATGTGGGCCTCACTCACAGTTCCCTCTTTTCTTACCCACAGCCTCAATCCAGGTCATGAAAATCTCTCTGCCACCTCTCTTGCATAGATTATCACATTAACCAAGCTGATTTCATTCATTCTGGTCCTGTTTCTTTCCAAACTCTTCTGTATGTTCTAGTCAGAATCATCTTCACATGGCTGCTTAAAATCCTGCAATAGCTTCCCTCTGCCCTTAGGTCAAGTTCAGACTCTACAATATGGTCTGTCTAGAGCATACCAAGTTCTGCCCCTTCCCAGCTATGTGCTTCTGAAAGCAGACACATAGACCACCTTTCAGGTTTTCACATTCTCCCTTAGCTTCAAGTCTCTGGAGCATAGTCAGCACTGAATAAATATTTCCTTAATGAAGATTAATTATAATTGTGCAAAATTCATTTTATGCAGCAGCAATGTCTCCATAACATAAAGGAAAGAAAGTAAGTCAGAAATGGCTTCTAGGTGGATGCTATAACAGCATGATGCACAGTGATAAGTAATTCTACTTTCCATATTTCAGCTGCTCATACATCCATGCAGAGAAATATTTGTTGCATGGAAGCATAGTTTGTACTTTGATAATCTTTAAAAAAGAGTAGAGCAACCGTTATCAAAAAATAATATAAGGGAGTGATAGTTAGTCATTCTGTAATGATTATCTAACACTTGCCTCTACTAATAACTACCTTGGAATTTTATCTCTGTATTTTTATTTACAGAATTAGCAGAATTTGTCCTTCCACAGCTATTTTATATAATTTACATGTCTATCAGTATAGTAGATTTTCTACCTTCTGATAAAATTCTGCAGAAATAAATTATTATTTACATACTTCCAACTTAAATCAGAACTCTTGCCCCAGCACTAAAGTACTCTTGGTACTGAAACTATACCTTGATGATTCGCTGAGTGACAGTTTAAAAATGAGGAAGGAGAACAAAGAGAAGGAGGAAGAAGAGAAGACGGAGTAGGGAGAGAACGAGGAGGAGGAGTGAGGAGGAGGAGAAAGGGTGAGAGAGAGAATTGGGGGCGGGGAGCAGCAGCAGCAAACATCTGAGCCTTCATCACATCATGATGCTTTCCCCACAGACCAAGCCATGTGACAATCATGAGACTAGGACTGCTGCTTGCTTGTTATCAAACAGGGACTTTTCTACCCTAGTGGAGTCCCTCTCAAATTCCTCCTGATTAAAAACCAAATAGAACCAAAGCGAAGGCCACAAACCTCCATGCATTCTGTGGTAGAGCATTACCTTCTGTCATATGGGATCTGTTAAGGCAAACATCTGATATTTGTGGTTAGGCTGAGATTTCTCCACAGCCCGTTATGGTGACCCATACTGAGAAAAAGCCACATGTCTCCCTGTGTAGCAATCTCGGGCTTTGACTACGCCAATAGAGCAGAGAGAAACCAATTCTGTCCAAACTAGCCTCAGTAATGTCTTCTCTGAGCTCCTGCTGCCACAACAAAGGCCAACACCTAGAGAAGTGTGGGTGCACTTCAGCAGCACTGGGGTGACAGCCTATAGCCTGCTGTCATAAAAAATAACAATCAACATCCTCAGATATTGACTGTGTTTTCCTCGCTGACACCAACCTCTCAGGGCTCGTTTCCAGTAGAGATCAAAAACCCTGCATGACACACATACATCTGCTATATATATGCTTTCCACAGTAGAATTTGATCAAGATAATCAGGACACTCATCAATTACAAAATGTTGAGTCAAATTTCATTTAACCAATATTTAAGGAAACCTACTGTGTGCCAAGCTCTGTGCTTGTCCTTGGGCAGTTTGGGAAGACTAAGGCCCAGTGCCTTCTGGGACCCAGCAGTTTGTGTTTTAACATGCCTTCCTGGTGATTCTGATGGAAGCTAAATTTGAGAATCAGGAGCCTAGGGACATAAAGGACATGGAGGTGTCAAAAGCAAGTGAGCTGCAATAGGGGTTAAGAGTTTAGACTTTGGAGGCCAGTATTGTGGCTTGCAGGTAAAGCTGCCACCTGCAACACCAGCATCCTAAATGGGCATCAGTTCATGTCCCGGCTGCTCCAATTCCAATTCAGCTCCCTGATAATGACCTGAGATAAGAAGCAGAAGATGATCAAGTGTATGGGCCCTGTCACCCAGTAGGAGACCCAGATTAAGTTCCTGCCTCCTGGCTTCCAACTGGCCCAGCCCTGGCAATTGCAGCCATCTGGGACGTGAACCAGCAGATGGAAGATCTTTCTCTCTCTCTCTCTCTCTCTCTCTCTCTCTCATTCTCTCTCTCTTTCAAGACAAATAAAATAAAATAATATTTTAAAAATATATAGAAAGATCAGACTTCGGAGAAAGAAAAAAATCTGGGCTGAAATATTCACTTTGCAATTTATCAGCTGACTGATATGTTGTGTGACATCTATGTGACAATCTTTGGCAGAATACTTACAGTCTTTAATTTCCTTGTGTTCTGAATGAGGGATACTATTGCAATAATTCAATAAAATAATTCATTATGAAATGTTCAGTTCACTGAGAAACTTGCAGTAAAAGGTAAATGCTATTTTATTGCAGACTGTGGAAGAACAATAGTTGTGAGAAAGAAAGCTCCACATTCAACATAAAGCTTTAGGTTTTTGTAGTACAGCCCAGTGATAAGATCCAGAAGAAGGCTGAAAATGTGCGTTTGGATGCTCAGAGAGGACGAGAGAAACTGAAGCTGAGGAACTCCATAGGAAGATCGCAGAATACCGGTAACAGCTACAACCATGTGAGAGGTCAAGATCATCCTTGAAGAATACAGGAAATGAGAAGAAAAAAGGACTCAATATTGAAGAATGAGATGGAGGACAGTAGTCAACGAAGGAGTCTGAGAAAGAAAACACAGAACAAGAGAAACAGGAGCCAGTAAGTTCACAGAGGCCAAAGGGGGAGTGTCAAGAAAAGGTCAACATTATCAAATATTGCTAAGTGTGTGTGTGTGTGTGTGTGTGTGTGTATATATATATATATATTTGACAGATAGAGTTAGACAGTGAGAGAGAGAGAAAGAGAGAAAGGTCTTCCTTCTGTTGGTTTACCTCCCAAATGGCTGCCACAGCCAGAGCTATGCCGATCCAAAGCCAGGAGCCAGGTGCTTCCTCCTGGTCTCCCACGCACGTGCATTTGCCCAAGCACCTGGGCCTTCCTCCACTGCCTTTCCAGGCCACAGCAGAGAGCTGGACTGGAAGAGGAGCAACTGGGACTAGAACCCGGCGTCCATATGGGATGCCGGCACCACAGGCAGAGGATTAACCAAGTGAGCCATGGCACCGGCCCAAATATTGCTAAGTTTTAAAAAGCAGTAAATTAGATCAACAGAAAGGGAAGGAGGGAGAGAGGAAGGGAAGGGGGGGATACGGCCATTGGACTGGCTAGTATGGTGACTGGAAACTTCTGAGAAAGCGGTCCGTCTTGAGCAGTGCTTGCAGAAGCCTAGCCCTACTGTTCTGTGACATAGCCTGTGATTCTGGCATCCCATATGGGCACCAGTTCGAGCCCTGGCTACACCACTTCCTATCCAGCTCCCTGTTAATGGTCTGGGAAAGCAGCAAAAGATGACCCACGTCCTTGGACCCCTGCACCCACATTATTTGCTGACTACTCTCCTCCATCCCATTCTTCAAGAATCCCAGGAGCTCACAAAGGGACAGAAGGAGGAAGCTCCTGGCTCCTAGCTTCAGCCTGAACCAGTCCAGTCATTGCATCCATTTGAGGAGTGAAGCAGCGGATAAAAGATCCCTCTGTATCTCCTCCCTCTCTCTCTGTAACTCTATCTTTCAAATAAATAAAATAAATCTTTAAATAAATAATTAATTTTAAACAAGGAGAAGAAAGCTGAGGTGGGAAAACTTGCCTTGATGAGGAAAAAAAGTATATAGAAATCCGTGGCCATCAAATATGAAAATACAGTTAGGCAAACAGAATGATAATTGTGTTGTGGGCTGAAGGAAGGAGCCAGTGAGAAAGAAGGAATCAGAGGCAGAGCAAAAGGAGGGGTAGGGAACAGGACTAGGTTGAACCTTCAGCTTTGAAAATAAACAAAAGCAATTTTTCTCTGAGGCAGGGAAGAAAATGAGTAAAAATATATGTAACTTGGGGATGAAGGGGGGACACAGAAAAGAGTAGGATAATGGTCTGAGGGTCTTTATTTTCTTAGAGAAATAAGAGGAAGTTAGCTTTCGAGAGTGAATGAGATCCTGCCAGGGTTGAGGACTTGAGGAAGGGCAGGGGTTTAGAACATCTGTTGTGAGGAATGGAAAATGAAGCTAAATAAAAATGAGAGACATTGGAACAGCGCTTAGAGCCAGTCTTCACTGAGTTAGGTAATCATGGTTTTCTTGTGGTATTAAATACAATATTAGTTGGTCATCCCCAGCAATGAAAGTAAGGAGAGAAAATGAATGATAATAAGGCGGCTATTGGTGTTATTTACAACAACTAGCATGTGCCAAGCAATTCAGAAACTCGTCTTGAGCCAATATTGCGTAGTAACCAAGTGAATGGGCTCAGAAATCAACTCTCCTGGGTTTGAAGTCACAAACTATGTGATGTGGGCAAGTCACTCAAACTCTCAATGTCTCAGTTTCATTTTCTATAAAATGAACATAAAATAATAGCACTTTCTTCTGGCTGTTGTGAAAATTAAAATAGTTAATTCATGTATTTAGAACAACGCTTGGAATTTAGTAAGCATTTGGTAAATGGTAATCATATATTACTACAGTGTGGAGGTTAAGAATCACAGGAACTCACAAAGGGACAGATATCACAACTCTCATCATATAGCAAAGCGTGAAATGTTCCATGAATATATACTATCAATATAACCATAATAATATCAAATAATATATTATACTATCAATATAACCATAGCAATAGCAAAAGATCAAAACTAATATCAACTACCAACCATACCTATGACAGACATCCTTTTTCTGATATTGTTGAAATCCAAGAAGGCAAGCAGTTGATATGTAACTAGTGTTCCAAGCTCTTCTATTGTTATTGTCTCTGGAGTCCGAGACTTAAAAACGAACCCAAAATTTCTAGCAGCTGTCACCAGAGCACCTTCATCAGGGGACTGAACTTGATAAACCAGTTGTCCTAGAAGGAAAACAAACAAGTAGATCAATGCTGAGATTAACAACTAACTTTCATAGAATCCCAAAGCTAACTCCAACTCACTCTTCCACACCCCCTCAACAGTCAGTCACCCAGTTTTTTCCTGCCCTCAGACTTTTCTACCTGAGCCACATTCCTGTCCTCGAGGACACTGCAAATTTCATGAATTTCACCACAGAGCCCTAGATATCTTGTCAGAAGAATATCCATTCTCCAGTCTGCCTTTCCACTCTGCTGGAACTTTCTTAAGTCAGAGACCAAATATTTACAAATATATTAAGCTGCATAATCCTCAAGGAAATCCTTTGAGGTAGGAATTATTAAAACGATTATTTCCATTTTATACTGGTGGGACCTATGGCTAAAACAGATTTATATGGACTTTGGCAACTTCACACAGCCAAAGAGTAATGGAGCAGATACGCTTAATTATACTTCAGTCTGCCACAAATGACCGTTTTACGAGAATACATACAAAAAATGACTCAAAATTTTATGAATCAAACCAAAATGTTAATACTTATTAATTGATATTTTGTATATCCCAGAATAAAATAGGAGAAAAAGAATGAAATAAAAATACAAAAATATGCTTTCTAAGCTTTTCTATAGAAAATTATATTGTTTATCATAAAATGAATTAGAAAAGAAAGGCTGAGGTAGATCCACATTTATTCATTTATAGTGATGTCCAAGATAAATTATGAAAACAAGTTGAATAGTAACAGATATATTAGTATTCTTTTTAGTTAAAAACTAAAACCTATCTACATTTCTGCATCTATTTTGTGTATATACATGTGTGTTTGTATGTATGTGTGTGTGTGTGTAAGCAAGTGGAAATGGTGAAATGCTGCACAACAAACATTGCCATAGGTTATCTGTTGCAATCTGGGTAAGAAATTATTATCTTTGCCTTTATAAGCTTTTCATTGTATTATTTCACTTTATACAAAAGTCTTAAATTAACTTAAAATTTAAAAATGAAAAAACATTGAGCAATTACTTGGTCTGCCTATGAAATGATACAATAAATTCTACTTCTGGCAACACGGTACACTGAGTGTCAGGACCAACCTCTCCTGCTGCAAGTAACTACAAAAAACATTTTAATACTATTGAATACATCCATAACCAGCAAGAAAGCTTAAAGTGTTCAGGTCAAAGACTGAGAAAAAGGACATGGATGGGATAAAAGAAGTACTATAACCAGCTTTTGCTTCGGGGAATTTTTTGAACCAGGAGAACTTGATCAGTTTCTAGTCTCTTGAGTCTTGGGTTAGAAAAGGTATAGCCCAGGGCCTCCTCAAGGTAAGAAGCTTAACGGAAGACCACCTCTCAAAACTGGGTTCCTTCTGCAAAGACTATGTTCTCAGTATGAGAATGAATTAGAAATATATGCCCCCTTTTCTGCAATGAAAATACTATAATAGAAATTAAAATCTTGCATATAAGTGGAAAAGCACAAAACTCTGAGAATTTTTGATCAAAGTCTAATTTGAATGTTTATTTGCATGCTGAATTCACAAAACCAGGGTGGCCTAAAAAAAATCAAGCTAAAAATTTAGTCTGAAATGCTCCTGCATTAGCACAGTGATTGAAGCACATATAAATCCCTTCTGGAGGAATCAGGTTGAACCAAGAAATTTCTACAAATGAAGTGGCAAGTAAAATGCCCAACTCAAGTGAAAATCATTAAAACTATAAGAAAACTTGATGAGAACCAGCAGAAACAATAGAGGGTAAGATCTGCAATAGCTGGGACCAGTACTGTGCTAAAGCAGGTTAAGCCACTGCCTGTGAAGCCAACATCCCATATGGGCACTTCCTTAAGTCCTGGTAGATCCACTTTCAATCCAGCTTCCTGTTAACACACTTGGGAAAGCATCAGAAGATGGCCCAAGTGCTTGAGTCCCTGCATCTACCTGGGAGACCCAGATAGAGCTCCAGTCTCTTGTCTTTGGTCTGACACAGCCCCAGCCACAGCCATTGCAGCCATCTGGGGAGTGAACCAGCAGATGGAAGATATCTCTCTCCCTTCACCTCCATCTGTAGCTCTGCCTTCCAAATTAAAAAAAAAAATATTTAAATTTGCAAACTATTTCAGTATTGGAATTAGAAACAGCAAATGTAATATATTTAGTATATTGCAAGAAATAAAATAGAAGCATAGAGGCATGAAATTAAGCAGATATGAAAAAGAACCAAAAGGCTTGTAGAAAAATCAGTGGAGAGGCCAGCATTGTGACATAGCCGGTTAAGCCTTTGCCTGCTGTGCCAGCATCCCATATGGGTGCCAATTCAAGACCCAGTTGCTCCATTTCCAATACAACTCCCTGCTAATGTTCCTGGGAAAGCAGCAGAGGTTGGCTCAGGTTCTTGGGCTTCTATACCCACTTAGAAGACTCTGAAGAAGTTCCCTACTCCTGGCTTCAGCCTGGCCCAGCCGTAGGCATTGTGGCCTTTTGGGGAGTGAACTAGAAGATGGAAGATCATTCACTAGGTTGCTGCTGCTGCTTCTCTCTCTGTAACTCTGCCTTGCAAACGAATAAAAATAAATAAATCTTTTTAAAATGAGAGTTACTGCGATGGCCTGGGAAAGCAGTAGAAGATGGCCCAACTCCTTGGGCCCCTGCAACCCACATGGGAGACTCAGAAGAAGCTCCTGGCTCCTGGCTTCAGATCAGCGCAGGTCCAGCCATTGTGGCTAACTTTTCACTTTTGGGGAGTGAACCAGTGGATGGAAGACTTCTCTCTCTCTCTCTGTCTCTCCTTCTCTCTGTGTGTAACTCTGACTTTCAAATAAATAAATAAATCTAAAAAAAAAATAGTAGAGTAGGAAGAAGAATATAGCTGAGAGAGACAAAATAATGAAAAATGAGTGAATGGTTTAAAGACATAGACAATGGGAAGACATCCAACACTGAAGATCTAACATGACAGAAAATGGATCACAGGCAATATTTTAAGATATTCTCAGATGAGAAAACTCCAGGAGTGATTTTAAAAAATGATAGTCAATATATTCCAGATCCCAATAAGTCACAACCAGCATAAATAAAAAAAAGTAAAAAAGAAAAACCACACCTATACTGTAAAACATGGAAGAAGAAGAAACCTTAAATGCGGTCAAGGAATAAAGACTGACTACCTTCAAGCCACGTTAGACTGAAAGCTGAAAACAGAGAAACAGGAAGAACAGCCAGAATACAGAGGAATAGTTTTAGTGTACTGGAGGAAGCTTATTACCTTAAATTTTACAGAACAAAAAGTGTTATTCAAGAGTAAGGATGAAGTAAACTCATTTCAAACAAAATGTTTGAAGCTCGCCATTAGAAGGCTCTTATGATAGGAAATTCCAAAGAACATACTTCAGGTCAGCAGAAGATTACAGATGGGACAAACATTGAAGAACATAGAAATTAGTAAATATGTGGATCGATCTAAGCAATGACTATAAAAATAGCAAAAAATAATATCTATGGGATTAAAAAGTATTAAAATACATGACAAGAGTAATATATGCCAGAATAGGGTTGGTGAGTATTAAAGTATTAAACTTGTGTTATTCAAAAGAGGGCTTAGTACTATAAGTTCATTATGGTAAAATTCCTATGTTAATCACTAAGGAAATACAAATAAGAGTACACATATTATTTTCAAACTAGCAACAGTGAAAATGGACTTAATCCATTTTTAAAAAAGAACAGACTGAGCCAGCGCCGCGGCTCACTAGGCTAATCCTCCGCCTTGCGGCGCTGGCACACTGGGTTCTAGTCCCGGTTGGGGCACCGGATTCTGTCCCGGTTGCCCCTCTTCCAGGCCAGCTCTCTGCTGTGGCCAGGGAGTGCAGTGGAGGATGGCCCAAGTACTTGGGCCCTGCACCCCATGGGAGACCAGGAGAAGCACCTGGCTCCTGCCATCGGATCAGCGTGGTGCGCCGGCCGCAGCGCGCTGGCCGCGGCGGCCATTGGAGGAGGGTGAACCAACAGCAAAGGAAGACCTTTCTCTCTGTCTCTCTCTCTCACTGTCCACTCTGCCTGTCAAAAAAAAAAAGAACAGACTGAGAAAAAGAGACAATATGAAATGCAAATAAGATGGTAGAAGGAATCTAATATATTAATAATTACAGATTAAATATTTAAAATCTCAGTTCAGCAACAAAAAATATTCCATTTAACCTCTGGCTTTGTCTACCTGGATATTTTTAAAATGTTGAACCATATGCCATGTGCAAGAGATATGTGTTTAAAATACAAGGAAAAAGATAGATTGGGACAAAAATATAGAAAACATCAAATAATGCAACTACTAACAAAAGGAAAACACCCATAACTATATTAATAACAGATAAAATGAACTTTAAGATGAAAAGTATCTACTGACAAATGTATCTATTGACAAAAGTTTTGATTTAAAGATAGAATTTTAAACTAGTATCCAACTAATAACATGACCTTAAAATACATAAATCATTCATTGGCAAAAACTGCTAATATGAGTATAAACATATAAATGCACTGAATAGTTGGTGATTTTAACATCTCATTATTTGAGAAATCAAGTCATGAAAATAATTCAGAGTAATAAAAGATGAATAGCACAATCAACACTATCTACTAGATATGTTTAGAATCTAATACTGAATAACTATAGAATGTATATTCATTTCAAGCTCACATTACACATTAAATATTTATGAAAAGTGAACACAGATCAGAAGTCACTTCAATAAATGTTAAAGGACTGGTATAATATAGAAATAAGAAAAAAATCTAATTTTTATATGCTATCCACCAAAAAAGAAAAAAAAAAAGTCCTAGTAATGTACCTGTACTTCCCCCTTTCCTGCTTATGAAACTTCATCCTGGTAAAGAATAGCACCTTCTCCAAATGACTTCCCCATGAAACAAACAGCACACATTGAAAATAAAAGAAACACGGCCGGCACCATGGCTCAATAGGCTAATCCTCCACCTGCG